GGGAATGTTTGGTTTTTTCTTCACGGAAGGGCCTGTATATAACTTTGAGGATGTGAAAAAGAGTGACAGTGCAAAGTTTGCAAGGTTTCACAGGGGAATGCTGGAGGAAGGTGTTTACTTCCCACCTTCACAGTTCGAGGCTGGGCTTACCAGCTTAGCGCATACTTTTGAGGATATCCAGCAGACGATAGAAGTGGCTGAGACGGTGTTCCAGCGACTTTAAACAGTTGGTCTTTGACTCCTCATTTGATTGATCAAGTTCCATTTTACCTTGGTAAGAAACGCACTCGAACACCATGGGGACCTGAACCCTTCGTTAAAGAAACGTTTGGAAAGAGCACCAAGGGGGAGGAAGAAGAAACGGAGAAAAGACCATTTGAAATTTTTTCTCCAAGTCTCGCGGAGCTAACCAACAGTGACCAGGACCCATCAATTGAACAAGCCTAGTTGAACAAAAAAGAAAAGTAGGCCTGTCAAGAAGACAAGCTCCGCGCTCAAGCTGAAGCTGTATCTCCTTCCTTTCCATTTCGAGTTTCTACTTTGGAAGGTGAAAAAATACCACCAGACTAGAGCCTTTTTAGTTTGACAGAGTTCCTTTGATTAAGAAACTGAAATGTATGTTGTTTAAACCTCTTGTATCATGTTTATATATTTATCTAATTGTGTCATTGTTTGAAAAGCGTTTTGCTATTTCACCACTTGAGTATGGTATTATTACTCTCTTATCCCGCCACGCAATTCTGTACCCTTTTAGTTTTGTAATGACTGTCAGCTCCACCACCTGAGTATGATCAGTAAGCAATGCATACATTAATTTTGCTCCACTTGAGATTTAAATGGCGAGGTGGAGGTTCACGATATTTTATTTCCAATAAGTGAGGTAAAATTTGAAGGAAAAAGCTCCCGATGATTGACAATATTATTTGTCATTCAAGCACCAAGTCATACAAATTTTCTAAAGTAGCGCTTCTCTCATGTTCCTGCTCTTATGCTTCTCTCATGTTCCTGCTCTTATGTATTGCGGATACTTTCATTTTCATTATATTTTGTGTGATTTAGATTTTGCCTCCTGCTCTGGCTCCCGCTTTCATTTCGTGTGAATTGGTTCAAGCATCAGTAGTAGAAATTATATGACACTGTTTTCTTCCTTCATTCTTGATGGAATAAATAAAAAGAAAGGCTCCTTTTCTCTATGGATGCCTTCTCAGTCTCACCTATCAACAATTATTTCCAATATTTCATACTATAATTTCCAACAAAGCATTTGTCTTCTCTCTCCCTCCCTCTCTTTTAAAAAAGTATTAATTGCGAAAACTAACTGTCATTAAATAAAAGAATTTAAATTTATCAATAACTTTGTAACATAGTGATATTTTCTCTACCTCTCAAAGTGAAAAGAGAGAGTTTAAAACCCCCTAACAGCTAATAAGTGTGTGAGTTTCTTGTCAATTAAAAAAAAAAAAAAAAACTATAAAAGGATTTACACATTTTTCCTTGTAATACAATTAGTCCGTCTATTGAACTAATGAAACCTACAATCTAATTAACATTATGGCTCATGGCTCCGTTTGTTTTAACATAATTTTTTTTTTTTTCTCGTAAAATGTTTCTATGCAACACTTTGTCATGTAAAATGTTTTCTTTATTTTTTATTTTTCGGTGTTCGGCAAAGATTTTGAAAATATTTTTCATAAAATGTTTTTGGCGTCTAGCTTCTAAAATTATTTTTGAATTAAAATTAAAATTCTTATTTGAGTCATTGATTATTCAATTTTTCTCTTACTAATCAATTGGTCCAATTATTTTTATACCAACAATAATAATTATTGACAAAAATATAGAAAAACAATCAATTGATTTTTTAAAAAATAAAAAGGAAACCAAAACAAGTCTCTTTATCATCAAATGCAACAAGTGTGGATTTTTTTTTTTTTTTTTTTTTTTTTTTTTTTTTTTTTTTTTTTTAACGTATCACTTTTTAATGTTTTAGAAAGTAATTCTACATGTTAATCATTAAATCAATAATGATAACGATCCAACGATTCTAGCACAAATAACATCTAGAAACCAAGGAAATACCTCTGGATTGCAGAAAAAAATGCTGAGGTATAGCATTCTGCAACACCAGAACCGAATGAGTAGACCACCTAGGTCTCCCTCCACTCCAGCATAGTCCAGACCAATTAACCTCGGGATTAGAACTTCTACACACCTCCCATGCTGCCTTGAAGCTGAAAATAGTCTTCCACTTGACTTGATCATCCCCTCCATAGATTCTATGATCATGGAAAATCTGAATAACCTCCTGTGCGGCATTTCTCAATTTATCATCATCCCACTGACATTCAATCATGAACTCACTTAAAGTGATCTTCTTGTTTCTGCTTAGACCTCCCAGAATTCTGCGGTTAAATAAATCACCCAAAAATTTCCCATCACACCATGGATCTAAAAACACCTTAATATTCTGCCCATTACCAATCATGTAACTGCAATTTCCTTTAATAATCTCTCTTGGAGCAACAATGCTCTTCCAAATTGAAGATGAAGACTCCCTAGGTATGACATTCCAAAATGAAGCCTGTTTCATATACATCTGTTGATACCAAGCCACCCATATTCTATCTTTTGACAACAAGAAATCCCATGCTAAACTACATTTTGAGGCCTTGTCAATGTCAACAAGTCTTCTCAGCCCCAAGCCCCCTTCAGTTTTGGGAGTAGCTAACTACTTCCACCTCAAACCATGTAATTTCTTTCTTTCTTCGATATGTCCCCATATGTAATTCCTCATTTGCCTATCAATTAAATTGATAATCACTGCTGGAAGAGTGTACACAGATGTCCAATATTGTACCATAGGAAGTACAACAGCTCGACATAGTTCCACTTTACCAGACATGGAAATATTCATCCCATTCCATCTAGTTGTACAAGCTATAACCTTCTCCACCAAACTAGAACAATCCTTACTCCTCTGCATCTTGTCAAAAATTGGAAGACTAAGGTAAGTAAAAGGCAATTTACCTACCTTGCATCCAAGAGTTCTGACAATAGTGGACTTCCTTTTAATTGAGTTTGTAGAAAACACTTCTGACTTCTCTTTGCTAACTGCCAACCCTGAAGTTTTTTCAAATAAAACCAAGGTTTTGTTAAAGTAAAAATTGTAGCCATATTAGCTCAAACCACCATTAATAAATCATCGGCAAAAAACTGATGAGTAATAGGAACCATAGCTCTAACAGCAGCCTCAGAAGGATACACCTTACCTCTCTTGACCTCAACTTCCATCATTCCAGAGAAATACTGTCACTAGAGTAAAAAGAAGAGGGGAGAGAGGGCAGCCTTGCCTCAATCCTTTCTCTTGTTGAAAATATCCCTGGGGAGAACCATTTAAAATGACAGAAAACTATCACTTTCTACCACGGTTATAAAAGTAAAATAGATAATTACTAGCACGATTATAACGGTAAAAAATCCAAACAGCTTCATCAACTGTAATAAAAAAACTCCACTGAAGTGTATCATAAGCTTTTCTCAGATCAATCTTCCATGCAAATGTAGGTTTCACATGCTTAGAACCAAATCCCTTCAACAATTCATGAGCAATTATAATATTGTCTTGAATCTTTCTATCTTGTATAAAAGTAGTCTGTTCTTTGCCCACAACTCTTTCAGAACCTTTGCAAGTATGTTTGCTAGAATTTTAGCAATAACCTTGTATAAAGTGTAACACAGAGATATAGGTCTAAAATCTCCAACCTTTAAAACATCTTTCTTCTTTTGACTTAAAGTAATATATGTACTAGTAATAAATGTTTTGTAGCTGTGAGTATACATGGCAAGTGTGGATGAAGATTTCTGATATTTGTGCTTGGAACTTACAAAGGGTTGATGAGGTTTAAAATTTTGCAATGATCTTTACTCTGAGGTTTCAAGGAAAAGGGAATAAATTGGCTAGGATATTATTTACTGCAGTTTTATATTTTATTTGGAGAGAAAGAAATGAGAGATTGCATAATGATAAATTCTGTGACTCTATGGAACTAGCTAAGTGTATTTTGTGGGAGGTTATGGATGTAATGGAAATTAGTCTTCAAGACATCTTGTAATCTGTTTTCTAGTTTGTTTTGTCATGTTTTTTGTTGGCCTTCTTAGGAAGGTTTTTGGTTGTATAAGTGGGGGTATGTCCTCACTTGCTTTTATTTGTATATTATTGTTGATATTTATAAAAAATTCTTCATTTAGGGAAAAAAAAAAAAAAATTCAATAATGAAAACAAAAAAATATAATAATAAAAGCAAATTGAAGAAATCAAAAATAGAAAATTGTATGATTGTTGTTAAAGAAGAGATTAGCCTCGTGCTTAGGGGTGGCAAATTACAATACGGCACAACAATACAATACGAACACAATACGAGTTAAATGAGTTTGGGTTTGGGTTTGGGTTTGGTATAAACTGGTTTGAGTCATAAAATGATCGACATGATTAACCCGTTTACTTAACCGTGTCGGGTTAGGGTTGAGGGATTTAACCCGTGTAACCCATTTAACTCAACATGTTATAATTGTCTCTTTCCTTTAATTTCATTTTTTTAGAGAAAAAAAAAAATATAACAATATGGACACCCCTTTTTATTTCATTTTATTTTTTTAGCAGTTATTATTTTGACGTTCTTTAAATTTTGACAAGTATGTATCTTCAAGACACTCCTATCATTTTCTTTTCTGTGTTTTGTTGATCAAATTTTATAAAATAATAATTTTATCATCAATGGAATATAAGAATAGTAAGGAGTACTAGCTTTTCACATTTCAAAGTGACTTTTAAAAAAAAATACTAAATGATTAACAGTATAATCGAGTGTAATTTATCTAAATTTCGTGATTTCTCTAAAATTATATACAGGGCTTTTGTATTCTCTTGAATTTTATTATTATTATTTAAAAAAAAAAGATATATGTATACATTATATATAAATATAAAACGTACACTCTGCAGCCAAAGCAGAACATGAAGAGGAAGAGGGAGGACATGGAAATTGTATGGCAAACCCCAGCGAATCCTCCAGAGCGCCAAGATTACATCTTTCGCAACGGTAAAATTCAATTTAAAAAAAACTTAGATATATATGTGTGCGTGCATTCTTTCCCGCAAATTTCGAAGCTCAATGTTCATTTGGTACGATTCTGCAGGAGTTCGCTATGTTAAGCCGTACTACTTCGAGTTCATCTCTCATGTATGTGCAGTCCTCTCAATCTCTACTTCATTTCCTCTTTGTGCTGTTTATAAACCTTTAATTTGTTCTCTATCCAAAACCTCAATTAAACCCTAATTACTGTTTACAAGCTCTGATTTAGTTGTGTTTTGGGCTCAGGTTAAGAATCGGTGGGCGGGGAAGACCATTGTTGATCTGTTTGCAGAAGAATTTAAAGGGCGACCTTATGAGTACTATGTATGCTATATTTTGTTTAACCCAATTTCAATATCAGTTAATTGAGCTCATTTTCAAGTCAAGCCTATCAAAATAATGGATTAATTAAATCTGTGCGTGCGTAACCATATGCAAAATGTGTGCCAATCAACTTCTTTGCCAGCTTCTCAACCCCTATATATATGTGCCTGTATATATATATATATGTGTGTGTATGTTTATGTATGTATGTGTGTAACCCAGTATGTAGGAATTGTAGTTTCCATCTTAATAGCTTTATCTTATGTATAAAAAAAATGTATTTTTGCTTGTTTCATCTTAGATTATTAAATTATAAGTTTATGAGTTGTATTTGTAGGTTTCTGCTGTAAAATGTGGACGGATACAAGTTGATGGACAGGTAGTGCCTGTCTCATACATAGTTTGGTCTTCACAAAAGATAAGCCATTTCTTACACAGGTTCGTTGTGCTGTTCAAGTGCTGCAATTGTATCACATTTATTAATATGCATGAACATATTATTCTGTTGGTTAGAAATATTTATGCAGTTTTTATGCTTACATTTGTTAATTGAAGTTTTAGGGCCGGTTTGGTAAGCTTTTTTTTAATGGATCCGGTGAAAAACAGAAACAAGTGGTAAAAAAAGCACATTTTATAAGGTTTGTTGCAATTGGCACATTCCTGTGCCTGCTTAAGGAAAATGGCCCAATTGAGGACCCAAAAAAAAAAAAAAAAAATGTTTTCACTTGTTTTTGCTATTGTAGCAATACAACTTTATGGAAATTTTTTATTTTATTTTTAACAGCCAATGTAATCTAAATACAATATTATTATTTTTTCCAATCTTCCAAAGATTCTTCTCTCTCTTTTTTTTTTTTGAAATATTGTGCAACAAATTATTTAGAAAAAAAAAAAAAAAACGTTGTGCAACAAATTTAAGATACCGACCATGTTTATGTTTTGGAATGGATCACTGCACAACAAAAACTCTGCTTTTGTTTTATATGAAATAAAAACACAAAAAACAGGTGCCAAACAACCCTTAATGTTCAATTTCCTTTAAAATTTCATCATATTGTTATCCTTCCGTCCTACTCTGAAACTGCTACTGTGAAATTATCAATCTAGTAATTGATTTACCAAAGGCTGTAGGCATGAACCTCCAGTGATGGCATGCGATGTCTCAATTCTGCAAAAAGAACCAGATGTGTTGACTGTTTGTAAGCCTGCATCTGTTCCGGTAAGACAACAATAGTTGAATTTGTTCTTCTACCGATGTTTTCAATTTACATGATATCTGTTATTTTACTATGACACCATTATCACTTTGCAGTACGGGGTGCCTATTTCTTATGTTACTTTTGTTCTCTTGAAATGAAACATGGTTTATTGCAATTCTGCAACTTTTTCTATCAATTAGTTTGTTTACACTCAAATGAATTTAGCTATATACTATGTTACGTGAACTCTTAGAAAATGTGAGTTCCCATGTCGGACAATCAGACATATTGAAGCATTATTTTATTATTGCCTTTAATATTTGTGCCTTGCAATTAGGAACCACAATTGACCATTACTTCCATGGTCGGCAAAAAGAACCAGATGAAGTCAGCTACTGAGTTGTGACATTCTTTGAGGATTGTTTTGTGAAGAGATTCTTTATGGTAGTTGACATGCTACAACATTGGCTATATATAATATTATACTATTTAGTTAATTCTATTAGTATTACAATCAAATTTTTTAATCATATGCTGCTTGTTCTCTACTTATTTAGTTATATATCATGAATTCGTAACCGTCATTGCATGTGTATCCGTATCCATGATGCAAGGAGTGAGGAAGATTCTATTCATTGTCATAACCTGATTTTAAGTTCATCCTCATCTTGTATGGCATTTAATTTACAGGCTCCTACTGTTATGTAGGTGCATCCATGTGGTCAATATCGTAAGAATACCATTGTTGGTATCCTTCAGGCAGAGCATGACTTGGCACCTCTATTTCGTATCCAACTTATTATTGGCTGCAATAATCATCAAAATTATGCTAACTCACATTTTAAGCAGATTTTTTCATCTCTGTAATGTTATTATATGCAAATCCTTGATTGTAGTAATCTACTTGCGTTCTCTTTTCTTTTTGGTTAAATGCTGCACTTATCGGTTTTCTATCTTTCCCTTAACACTAATATGTCAGCGATTCATCGACTAGATCGCTTGGTTTCAGGACTTCTTATCTTGGCCAGAAGTGCTTCTAAGGCTGACCTTTTTAGGCAACAGGTAAGCCTTATATTGCTAAATTTGTTTACTATGTAATTCCTAACCAGGAAAAAAAATATTTTACTTTATTTTCCAAAACAATTTAAAGCCAGCATCAGCATCATGAAATGGTCTTGGTGAATGTGATTAGGTCAAATTGTGGTTGGTGGATAAACACAAACTCTTCATGCATTATATGCTTTTTTTATTTTAAGTTACTAAAATAGTACAGTAGCACACTCATTACCTCAATTTTAAGTATTGCATATCTAATATGAAGTTTGTCCACATGTTTCATTGCTGTAGTAAAAAAAAAAAAAAACCTATTTCTTTATGTAGGAAAAATAGATTTACTTGTATATATACACCCATCAACTATTTATATGATTATTTTGTTTATATCATGACCAACTGTAGGAATGCGCAGATTTCAGGTAACAATAATTAAGTTTCACAAAATTAGCTGGTTTTATTTCTTAAAAGTTGAAATCTAAGGGATCATCTATTGAGTTTCTGTGCTTTTGATACCTCCATGATTTCTCACATCTACCAGTGATGTTAAAAGTTAAGGTTACCTAAATATGTGTATCGCGAGTTCACTACCATGTTGATGTGTCTTCGACTGTCAGGCTTGGATACCTCAATTATCTAGATCATGGCATGTTTTTCAATTGTCTAATTGATTATATGTACTCCCAAAAGATTATGTAATATATTAAGAATGGTATTATATTACTTAAAATTAAATATGATTCCAACTAAAAATCTGCTATTGTTCATGTAGTTACTGATAAATGATAAAAACCCACATGTCGTGCAACAAACTTGTAAAATTTGTGAATTACATAAAAAATAAGTCTTAATATGATCTCCTCCCCTTGTAAATGAATATAATCTACAACGAAATAGTCGGGTACCCGAAGAAAAGAATGAAAGAGACGAGAGCCAAAGATGAATTTAAAACTTGATCATGTGCGTAGTAAGTAGGAAAACAATGGAAAGAAATGCCAAAAACCATTGGGGTTAACATATTTCTTGAAATATAAAAGGATATAGGACACAAATAAGTTGACTTCAAATTTTAAAAAATGACTATCCATAACAGGGGCCTGTTGTGGCATCATATTTGAGATTGTGGCATAAGCTGTCAAGTTAGAAACACATTTTATAGTTACAGCCAATGCTGTTGAAAGAAAAGAGAAGGAATTCTGGCATATTCAGCATAGCTGGGGGTGTCTCTATTCTCAATTGTGGCCACCAGAATCTGTTTCAAACAATCAAAACATATCTTTTCACCACTGTTAACACTGCTGCTAGAGTCACCACATGCCACTCTTATCAAATATCACCATTTCACTAATGTATCTAATGTCATGATTAACCATGTCTACAGCACCACGACAACCATCAGGCCTACCAGCGACCATCCTTACTTTCACTCAGCACTTGTCCCTGCCACAAAAAATTGCCAGAAATGTATTATAATTTCCATCTGTGATTATTACTGCCACCAATTCCATCTTTACTGCTATCTGCTTCTTGGACACTGTCAACAGCACCGTGACCATTTTCCTCCTTCATAGCTATTTGAGGTAGCATTAACCCAACCCTAATCCACTTTAGTCATGTGATATATAATTTTTATTATTATTATTTTTTTTAATTTTATTTATATATAAACTGTGGTTGGCTTCAAAAAGATAGGTGGACATATTTGTTATTTTACTGCCAGTTTTGAGCAGAAAAGTCGATGTGCTGGCGTCACATTTGGTGCTGTAGTAGTTTTGTGTTCATTGTTATTAGTCCTCCTTATTGAATACAAAGTCTGCTAGTAAGAGCCAAATTGTTAAGATATTGCAGGGGCCTTCTGCAATTCTCAAGGACAATTCCTTACACTTATTGAATTAGAACAATACAGTGGTTTTGTATATCTGCATGTTGTATGCCGTTGGAGAAAATTATAATACAATATAGTTTCAGGTTACTTGCAGCTTAACCCAAAAATTCTGTTACCATAGAAAAACATTAAGGCAATAATTATGTTACTTAATATATATTGCTAAAGTTTTACATTTTTCATGCTAAAGATGCAGTGGTCTTCTATGTTACCTTTTGGTTGGTTCACATTGCATTCTGTAAACAAGATATATTTTCCTTCTCATCTTAAAGTCTACTGAAATTGTTCTAGATTGAAGCTGGCTTGGTACAGAAACAGTATATTGCTAAGGTCATTGGGGTGTTTCCCGAGGACGAGGTATCCCATTGTTTAAGCTTGGATGATATATGTCATTTATAATTTGGGTTTCAGAGAATATTGTTGTTCTGTTCAAGATAAAAATTGATTGTTCTTGTTTGACATTTCTTTCAAAATCTCTTTCCAGCAAGTTGTGAATTTGAATGTAAATTATAACGCACGAGAAGGGAGGAGCACAGTGGAGGTAAAGATTTCTATTCTACACCTTCACTTTCTTGATCATTGTTGTTCCTATATGCATACTCATAATTAACATATTATCGCTTTGGTCTTTTCTTATGGTACTTTATTAGTTTTCCATTCTCAAGTACATTCAGATTCTTTCAGTGATAAGGAAAACATTTTTTTTTCTCCTTTTGGTAAGTGATAAGGAAAACATTCCTTTAAACTTGTCGAGTAAAATATCACTTGAGGCTATGAACTGCTGATTTGCTAGGCAGAAATCAATAACTGATGCTGAAGTACTCTCATATGTCAAAAGGGTTTTTCTGGATATTATTAAGTGTTTTCTGTTGTTAGTCCTCTTGTATTAAGTATTAACATAAACTTTTGTCATACACTACTAATGTTTAGACTTGTGACATCCCACGTTGTCTTGGGGAGAGAAGTTGCTAGCACTTATAAGGAGGATTCCTTCTACCTATGTAGACATGTTTTAAGACTGTGAGCACTAAGATGGTGCAAAATGGTCAATGTTTGCATAGTGTCAGGTGGAACCTGATAGATGTTATCAGTGCCAATCCCCAGCTGAAATAGGGAGGAGCGTGTACTAGCCCACGAGGGATGCCACTGAGGATGTTGGGTCCCAAAAGGGGGTGATTGTAGTCTCACATTGCCCCGGGGGCCACCCGGGGGGGGGTGGGGGGGGGGGGGAATGAAGCTGATACTTTTAGGATGAATGCTTCTTACCTAAGTAGACACGTTCTAAAACCATGACAATATTTGGACTGTGTGAGTCAGGTCTTGACAGATGAGGGTGACGCTAGCGAGGACGCAAATGGTGATTGTGACGTCCCACATTGCCTAGGTAGAACAGTTGTTGATACTTAATAAGAGGAGATGCTGATGCATTTTAAAACCGTGAGCACCAAGAGAGTGCAAAACGAACAATTTCTGCAGTGTGCGTGGAGGGTCCTAACATAACTGGTTTCCTTTTCCCCACTATAATTCCTGTTGGGTTTTTTTTTTTTTTGTTTTGGGGGGGGGGGTGATGTATCACAGTTTGAGACATCAGTTGTATAATTTAAGTTATCATTCAGTTGTAAATTGTTTTTGGATTATAGTGTTAGTCTTATTATTGAAGTAATTAGGAGACTTCTTTCTTTAAATGTCTGTAACGGAATTGACTAACACATTTTGGATTTGTCTAATTCTTTTCTTTTTTATTTTATATTTATTTTTTAAAGACGATCAATGGTTTAGGAATCCACTATGAAAATTTGATAATTGACCTTTAATTATTTTGTGTGATAGTGTTTCAAAATTTGAAGAACAACCATGAGTTTTGGTTTGGTCATGAATTGAAACTCATAAGGTGGACTCCTGTTGGTTTGCTTGTGATCTTCCATTCCCAATGTTATATACAAAATGAAAGACCAGTAAAATCAATGTATTCTATATATTCATCATCTCAGAATTCTGAGTCAAATGTTGTATTTTAAATAAGGATAACACCCAGCTCATAGTACAATTATTGTGCATGATTATCCACCATAGCTGAGTTGCATTCTCTTGACAATATTTTCTCGGCAATTTGTTGGGATAGTGCTCTTTTCCTCCTTCACTTGTGTTACCATTTTCTGAATAAACTGATTGCCACAATTCATTATCCTACGGTTTGTGGTTCCCTGAGGCATCAGGCATGCAGTGATATTGGAAGGTGAATTCTTTTGTTTGCAGGTGGGGGACTGTTGTGATGGCAATGACAATAAATCCGTGAAGGGCAAATCTGCTTGTACAAAATTTACTAGGATTAGTACCAATGGAACTCATAGCATTGTTTTGTGTGAACCAATCACCGGCAGAACTCATCAAGTAAGAAAATTTACAGGTTCTAAGGGCTTTGTATATTACTTTATTAATTTAGTTAACAACAAACTATATTAGCTTCATTTCAGCTCTTTTGCCCCCCTTCCTGATTTCTATATTAGCTTCATATAACAAAATACGTTATATGTTTATGCATTTTTTCTTTTCTATGTTTGTGTTTTGTTAGTATGGCAATCTCAGTCACTGACTTTTAATATTGTTTGCCATTTTTTTAAGAGCTTCAATGAAATATTTTTTGATCATCGACAATGCTGTCTCATCTTTGTATGATTTGATGCCTGACTTTGCATTTATATTGCTTTAATCAGAGTCCCTGGCCTTGTTAACGTAGACCCAGACAGATTTCTTAAGCTCTTATTGCATTTTCATATGATTCAGCAATACTTCATACCGTTGAATGATTCAGTGGCATAGCTCTGCATTTATTTTGAGTTGGTCTGGAAAAACAACATACACCCATGTTTGTTATAGTTGTGGTATACTGAACACATTTATCAAATCTCTCTTTCTCAGATACGTGTCCATTTGAAACATACTGGCCATCCAATAGCCAATGACATGCTCTACCTTTCTGAATTTGTTACTGATCGTTCTAGTGAAGGATTGAGCGCTGATAGAGCTGCTGTGAAGTCAAGCCATTCTCTAACGTCTAATTCTCATGAAAATAGTATTAATGGATCTGAAGAGAACTCCATTGAAGACTTCAGCATTGATTTGATGTGCACAAATTGTCCAAATTTGGCTCCTAAAGGGTAAGATACTTTACATGCACAGAGTAATATTTGTGAACATATTCAGAATAAATAGCTTTGAGTAGAAATATGCCCGCTATATGGTTTCTGCCAACTAGAATGATATGTACTCAAATTTAGTTTCTTATTGATACCACGATGAAGCATTATTTTAGAAGCCTTGATGAGATTAGTGGAGAAAATCCCTTTTCCATTATATTTGGTATAACTTGAGATTTTTGAGGTTAGAGATGCTCTAGCAAAGATGTTTTGAAAGGCTTTGAAACTGTATGATTTTCTGGTTTATTCTTGGAAGTACATGGGGATGGAGTGAATAAGAAACAAGGACAAATTGAGATAAGAAGTCATGGATAATCGATTCCATAAGCCAGTCGATGCCCTTATCGGTGGAGTACAATCCAACCTCGTTAACAATTTAATGTGGTTCAAAATTAAACCTAATTATTTTGTCTCACTTTCTGATCCAAACATTGAGAAAGTACTTCAAGTCAGACTTCAATTGTCGAAACTACAAATGGACTACGACTCGCCCAGTCTCGGTATCCAATGGAAAGTTCTATACGAGCTTACTCGAGAACCTGAAACTGCTACGATTCCCACAATTGACTCCAAACTAGTCACTTTGTTTGAACCTCGACCCTTTGATACTATAATTGAGCCAAAATTACTCAATTGGACTGATCTAGAAATCCCTCGAAATTGGTTATTTGACAACATCAATTCAGAACCAAAATTACGTATCACAGAACCTACTGTAGCAACTATTCATGCCTCTGGTTCAAATCTCTATATCACCAATAAAGAGAAACCTCCTCAGTTACAGCGCTCTACCTCAGCACGTAGTACCGGATGGGAAAAAATTCTTCCTCCTCGTTTGTCTACCGATGCACCTCCTCGGCGACGATTTACTTGGACTGAAAAAGGAAAAGCTCCCATTGACCTTAAAGGAAATGCTCCTTTTCTACCTGGTTCAAATCATTCAATAAACTCCGCAAAGTTTTTTCATTTTCGCACAGGAAAAGATGAAATTCTCATTGCCCCTTCACAAGGGAAAAAACGTAAATATACTTATGTCAACGGTATATTTAATTTTAAAGGTTATAAACCCTATAGCCTTTGCGTTCTTATCGATACAGGAGCAACTACTAGTTGCTGCCATTACAATGCTATTCCATCAGAAAAATGGCAGCAAATGAAGCATTCCATCAGTGTTCAAGGAATCGATGCTGAAGCCCCTCTGAATGTCATCCAATTTAAAGCAAAAGATGTTGCTATTTGGCTGAATGATAAAAAATTTATCATTCCCAAAATCCTTTGCTTTCCATACATGCATGGAGACTTCATTCTTGGATGCAACTTTATCTATAGTTACCTCCCTTTACAGTTAAAAGAAAAAACCATTTCTTTAACCTTAAAAGATCAAACAGTTGTTGAAATTCAAATTCAAGAAAATTTAGCTGCTGTTTGTAATGAAAAATTCTCTCCACCAAAAAGAGATAATACAGATTTACTTGTCTTAACCGATACACACTGGTTATATAACTCCCTACGAGATAATTTCTCTGATAACCCATTAAACCTATGGAAGAGAAGTCCTTGTTTTTGCAGCTTAAAACTCAAAGACGACCACGTCATCATTCGGGTCAAACCAATGATCTATCTCCGCAAAGATATTGACGAATTCGACGCTCAACTTCAAGACCTTCTTGAAAGAAGCTCATTGAACGAACACGCAGCCCTCATAGCAGTCCTGCTTTTATGGTTAGAAACCATAGTGAGGTAAAAAGAGGTAAAGCCAGAATGGTCATAAACTATAAACGGCTTAACGAACATTTAATCTTTGATGGCTATTTTATTCCTCGCAAAGATGTTCTTATCAACCAAACTCGCGGTGCAAAAATCTTTAGCAAGTTTGATTGTAAAGCAGGTTTTTGGCAAAATCAAATTACGAAAAAAGTCTAAACCATTAACTGCTTTCAGTACTCCACGAGGTCATTATCAATGGACCGTTATGTCCTTCGGTCTCAATACTGCACCTCAAATATATCAACGATGGATGGACTCTATCTTTAATGATCTTAAAGACTTTGTAGTCGTTTATATCGATGATATTCTGGTCTTCTCTAAAACAAGAGAAGAACATAAACAGCACCTCCAGTGTCTTTCAGAAAAGCTGAAAAACTATGGAATCATCTCATCTCCAACCAAGATAGATGTTGAAAAGGAATCTATTGATTTTCTCGGTCTAGTTTTAACCCACAAAGGAATAAAGCTACAAGATCACATCATTATTAAAATTCGTGATTTTCCTGACGTTCTTCAAGATAAAAAGCAGCTACAGAGTTTTTTGGGAATCTTGAATTATGGTCGGACATTTATTGAAGGCTTGTCTCAAAAGGAACTTCCTTTAATAAAGAAGCTCCAGAAAAATACAGCTTTTGACTGGACTGATAGTGACACCATCATTATCCAACAAATCAAAGCAGATCTCGTTCATATCCCTGAAGTTTATTTTCCTCAAAACGGTGATAAACTCATTCTCGAGACCGATGCCTCCGATTTCTGTTGGGGATGTGTATTAAAAGCCATTCCTAAAGAAAAATGGGCTGAAGATACTTCTCCCATACACATGATACGCGCCCGTAAGACTCCTATCACCAAAAGGCTTCAACAAGAAGAGTTAATTTGTGGCTATAATTCTGGAAAGTTTAAACCCAATGAACAGAATTATATTATTTATGAAAAAGAACTTTTGGCTATTAAACTCGCCATTAAATGTTTTCATATTTATCTTGCTCCAGAAGACTTTATCATCCGCACTGATAACCAAGCAGTGAAAGATTTTCTTATAAACAAAAAGAATTGTTTAGACGGACGACGCTTAAAATGGTATAATGTTATTGCACAATATTCTTTTGCTATTGAACATATCAAAGGAACTAACAATTTTCTTGCAGATTTCTTAAGCAGACAAAAGGAAATATCTAACCCTGATATTTCTCTCTCCATGATTACAGATGAATGAACAAAGTTCTCCACCTAAAGATAAAGACGGTTGGATCACTATTACTAAAAAAGTAATTGATAAACCAACTCCATCACAACCAAAAAAATGGTTTGTGGTTTTTGCTGGTCACCACCCAGGCATTTACGAAGAATGGAATGACTGCCACAAACAGCTCCGTTCCTTCAATGGTTCGTGTTTTAAAGCTTATGATACACTTATAGATGCCCAAACCGTTTTCTATAACGTGGGTCAAGCCTCTCAAAAAATGTTTTCAAAACATCAGGATGCTACAGAAATTAACGACTTCTATAATCCTGGTCTTCCAAACGATCTTTATGAAGAAATTAATAACGTTTGGAAAGCCCATAAACTTGGTGCACATAAGAAATTCAGACAACATCTGAGTTCTCTTACAGCACTCATAGCTGAACAAATAGCCATGACTGCTGAGCTTAAAAAGCTTTGTATACAGATCTGTCTTACTATTGACTAGGAAAAAGATTTTTCTTTATCTCAAATAAATTGTTCTGAAGACATTTTTCGTTGATGAGACGGTAAACGAAATTAGTACGAAAGCCAATATTATCAGTTTTCTGGATTCGGATTAGGAAATCAGGATAGCCTTTTGTTGCAAGTTCATCCCAGGGGTTTGGTAGTTTGTGAAAAAACTGAGGGAGCCAATGCTCTATAGCATTAGGTGGAAGTCGTCGAAAGTATTTGGTAAATAGTTTGACGTATGCTGGAAAACTGCAAATGTCGCATAATTCTATTTTGGAGAGTGCGCACGTAGCATCGTCGGTGAGGAGCTGTTCTTCTGTGTGTCCAACCATTTCTTCTTTAAGGATTTTAACAAATCCTCTTAAAACGCCATCGATTTTATCGAAATTATTTAAGAGTTCGTCCTTTTGGCGTTGGCCTTGGGCAGTTTGGTCCCATTGTCGAAGCCAGTCCAGAGCATCACCTTGTAGGGTTGCTGAGATGTAATCAAGAAAACGATCGCGTTGCCAAGTACCTTTCTGGTTATTTACAAGAATGGCTAAAGACTGTGCCCATTCGTCGATGGATTTTAGATGATCTTTGTAAGGAACATTAGAAAGATCGAGAGAAGTTCCATGTTGTGAAATGGGAAACTTATTTAGGTCATCTTTTCTTGTCCATGTGGGAACAGTTGAAAAGTCATATTTATAAGATGGAGTATATATAGCGGGCCTTTTAGGTTCACCTTTTTCTGTGGATTCAGCAGGAAGGCTAGTGGTGGGAACTTCTTCGGCTGGTAGAATCTCTTCAGGAGGAAAATTACCATAAAAAGACTCGTCAAGAATAGTATCTGACTCACGCTTTTTAGACTGTGATGTTGAAGTCTTAGATGGTAAAGGATCTGCTTCTGGTATAGGATCTGCTTCGATTGTCTCATCGAGAGACTCAGAAGAAGATGATTCAGAATTGTCTGAAAAGACATATCTGTTCGTCATCGGATTCACTATTGGAATCGCTGTCGATTGGTGTATAACCGAAATGAGAAAGGAGATCTTCATTTTGTAATGAGATCTGTTTCATCTGATTGATGATATGTGTGCTTTCATCAAAAGTAATTTGAGGGTTTACATAGAGGGCTTGTAAACAATTGAGTTGATCTATGATGCTATCATAATCATCTATACGATATGAAGATGAAGGAGTGGTTTCCTTAAAGACTTTTATATCTTCATTACCATAAAAAAAGGGTTTAACCTTGTAACGAAGAGGCTTGGTGAGGTCTTCGGAGAAAGCAAAAGTAGAAGGTTTATCAGGAGGTTCAGCTTTTGATGGATCAGATTCTTCTTTTGATGGATCAGGTGGATAGAGGTCAGACATCTTAGCCTTTTTGAGTTTAGCTAAGTCAACTGTCATTTGATGTATTTGGTCCTTAAGGATGGTTGTCTTGAGGACTGGAAAGAGTGAAAATCTGGGTAAGAGTTTCAAGCTTGTCGTTCAAGGAGATCATTCCTTGCTG